ACACACACACACACACACACACACACACACACACACACACACACACACACACACACGCAACTATCGTTATTGCCCGCTCACATCTCTATTGCCCGCTCATCTTGAAGCTTATTTTTCGGACCCCCCCTCCAGGAGTCGCCATACTCTTTCCCCAGCTGCGTCAAAAAACAAGGCGAGGCTAGTGTGTCCTTTCCCCTCCTCCCCTGCAGCATCGTCAGGCCGAAGCGTCGGATCCTTGTGGTCATAACCGGCAGGCAGAATATCTCGCAACTCATTTGTGTCAGGACAGCCTCTAACCATGCACGGTCGGACCGCCCCTAAACCTCCGGCTCTCGTTCAACTCTTCACCTTGTAACGGCAATCCATACGACCTTGCAGTTCGCCTAACTAACAGCATGGACAGTTGCCCAGTAAGGAACAAACTAGTCACAAGGCCATTCACCGTCTTTGAGGATGATGTCGTGAATCTGCCCATCATTGTCGGCATTCGTGGAAAATGCGACGTTGACGGCGCATTCTTGGCCAGTGATGACTCGGCAAGCAACGCGTCGCCGGTAGAAAACTGCCATTCTGCTTGATGAACCACGTTCTGTAGCACCGGGAATCCGGCTTGGTCTCTTTTCCATTTGCAACTTGCTACCCTTCTGAGCTTGGTGTCGTTGACCACGTTGCTGGCCAAGCGCCAGCTCCCCCCTAGTTACAGGGCTGCCGTCCGCGCCTGGTGACCAACCAAACTATTGCGGCGACATGCTATCAGAAAAGTGGCAGTGTGCGATACAAATTGCTGATAATGCGAAAAACAAGAACAAAAACTGGTGTGAGCCTGGGACGAGGCCCCGTCTCACGATACCCGTGTAGTCCCAGTAACTAGAGAATATGGATATCTGATCAGACATGAATTCGTAATGCTGCAAGATTTGGCCTTATAAATAAAACAGCGTCATCCCGGCTTGGCAGCCCTACGGAAATGTACCATGGCGAGTCATTCGACTGGCAGAGAAATCTGGTTCTTGTCTCTTGAATATATAATTTGACGCAGGGGCTTGCCAATCCCCAAAAGCCCCATTCCCCTGTCATGCGCCTTTGATGAGCATTCGATAGCATTTCGTATACGAGAGGCCGTCAGGGAGCCATTGTCTCGTTCTTCTTCTGAGCCAAGCAGACTCCCTGTCCATCTCCTGCCGCTGCTGCGCACCGAATTGTGGTTCTCATCTGGCCGCCTTCGTCCCGGCCAGCTCAACCCCGTAGCGGTCATGATAACGGCCCCCGGGGCTAGTCTAGTTAGCTCCGATGCTGCCCGTGGTGGCCAAGAACATCTGGCGATGAGCCTCTGTACGGTGCCGTGCCCCATGTAATCCCCAATACGCACACATACATACACATATGTGTCTGTCCACAGCTCCGCGCATATCATTTCGACAAAAAAAAAGGCACAGGATGCTCTCGAGGTTAACAAGCGGCCGTCGCTTCTCTCGCGGAAGGATTGGACTAGTGCGAGGCTGGGAGGTGCATTGGGGGCGAGGGGGGAGACAAAGATCATCCCGATGACAGCACAGGAGGCCTGAATTGGGCTCGTGCTGGCATGTCGCAGCGCCAGGAGGGCACAGACGCCCGGTTGAACCCCCTGCGCCTCTGATCGAATTGAATCATTTCCCAGAATGCCGGGTTTGACCTGCCATCTCGCCCCCCCCCCGTCTGAGAAGAGAGTTTGGCAGGGGATGCGACGGCGCCAACTTTGCTTCTGAGGGGCTTGCACGAATTTGTTAGTGGATTGTCGATCATGTTGTGCCAGGACATGGTCATGTCTCGACAACAAACAAGACGCGCCACCGCCAACAAGGCAGTCACGGTAAGCCCCCCCTTCTCTCGTCGCTGGTACGGATACCTAACCCAGCGTTTCCGTTCCCGTAAAGCAACACAGTTCTTGCCACTTCAGTCCTCCGGACGTAGACCGAGGGTATCTATCTCGCAGATCTGGCGGTGCGCCGCCGGTGGCGTCTGGCGCGCCGTCGTTGGCCGGAGCCTATCAGAACGGGCGTCGCTGGCAGTTGGCTCGCGGCGGCAGCCCGGGGCAAAAAGTTATAATTAGTTTCAACTCATTAATAACTAACTGTTCCCAGAAACTGGGTAGAGGCCGTCGGCTCCTCCAAAACAGTTTAGCGCAAAAGGGAGAGGCTTGTCCTTGCCCATCAAGATGGACTTTGGTGGAGCAAGCAAGGACAGGAAAATGGGAAGACGGTCAAGCGATCCCCAGGATGGCTCGGGCGTCATCAGTAACTTGGCTTCCTGTTGGCACTGATGAGGTTTGTTATGCGATAAATACGACAGCCGACGGGCAAGGCCAAAACTCCACCTGCTAGTTAACTATGTAACTAGTTAGGTATTCCTAGTACCTTACGAATCCAATGTTAAGGCCTCCCTTGACCTGCCATTGGCTGCTAGTCTCGTGGAGAACAAGGAAAGCAGGAAATGTGCGACGATGCAACCACAAGCACTCGTCTCGCTCGAGCTGCCGACTGGTCGGAATGCCTGCCGAGCAGTCGTCCGATTCTGACCAGGGGTACGGGATGCGAAGGAAAGGCCTGTTCTGCACTCCTGACATGTCCTGCGACAAGGTCGGCGGCGATCACTGTTCCAATTGCTGACTGCTTTGGAGAAGAGTGCGCCAGTGCGTTGGGCTAACAAATTGCCAATCAGGGTTTCGCACAAACCTGGGGTATACATAGTTTTGGTGCGACGGGCCACGGTAACCGCCGTGTCCAGACAGACTCTCTCTGTACAGGAGGATGCGGGTTGTGTGGGAATAGCGATGCAAACAACCTGTTTTATCCATGACGGACCTAACCAGCAGTTGTGTGCATATATTAATCATGTCGCAGTTGGAGCCTGCCTACCGGACGCTGTCGGCTGACCGAGTTGATGTGCAACACGATATCCTGCAATTGCAGCAATTCGCTTGGTGGGGAGACTCAACTCTCTGGCGCAGCCCTTTCAGAATATGGACATGGAGACCGCCAAGTGCACTTTGGCCCAATTTAACTCATCGAGAATCTCTCTTTTGATCAAAAGCGGTAAACGACAGCACAGGGCTGGTAGCTGGTGTGTTGCATGCGCATCTGCGACGCCCCCTCTCTGGGACCCTTCCCATGCTGATGCGCCTGCACCCTTTCCAGCCCTCGTGTTTCCCCTGGCAATATCACCTGGTAATATCACCATCAGAGAACGGGACAAATCTATACAAAGCATTATAGTTGGTTCCCTCTCCCCATCGACTGGCCTGTAATATGTACGCAACAATCTATAACCAAGTCATCGCCAACGAGATCATGACTTATTAGTCTTCATCACCACGACGCTAGTCGCAAAGCTTTCCCTGTAGGCACGGACGGTAATTATTCATCAAGAACTAGACGCTAAAAGCGCGTTTGGCCCTCGAGGGGTGTATCTAAGATTGACATGCTGGATGTGGATGGTGGTTCGCCCACGACCAATTGTCTGGTTCGCCCTACATAATAAAGGCGTCGAAGGCTTTTTTGCCCAACAAATGTGCAGGAAAGGGGAAAATTAGCGAAAAGAGTCATCCCAGTCCCTGTTACTATGAGGCAATGAAGATCACATTTTCCGCATGTCCGCGCATGGAGTCGACAAGTTTTCTTGCAGCCCACGTCCGTCTAATTTGTACCACAAGTCGTTATGCAACTCGCGCATCACCCCTAGTTACCCATTTCTTCGTATTTCGTACCGAACTCTATTTCAACTTTTGTGCCAGCTCCCATCGCGGGATGCGCTGCTGCACAGCCTCAGCCCTACCAGCGGCCGCCCTCTCTCACTACGGCGGTTCCCCCCAATTGTAATAGTGGACAGTAGTCACCTTGCTTCGCCACGAAAAGCAGGCATGCTCCGACTGCCGAGACGGACAAAGTCAATCGGCTAGGCTTTCTCCAGGGAGCTAATTTGGCAAGGCAAGACCATGATCGGGCGGGCTTTGAGATCATGTGCTAACTAGTGAGACGGCGGAAAGCTTGCCTGGTGGAGTTTGTAGCCAGAATGCCTCAGTACACTTTGGTATCCGTACCAACCCTATACCTCAGGTCTAACGTTAAAGGAAGATGACTGGGAGCTGTGGTCGTTGCTGCTGACATTGCCACACGTAGCATTGGATGTGGTCGTGCCTGTTACGTGTTGATGGGCATCGTTATTTAGTGCACGGTACGCGGGGCGGGGAATGGTGTTCAATAGTAGTCGTGAATGGATGTTGTGCACCTCTGCCACCCTCGTCACCATATCGAGGAACCTCATCGAGGAACCCCATCGAGAATGCCTACACAGAACATGTCCTGATCTAGCCAGACGTGCATCTTCTGGCCGGAGACAAGACCTCGAAATGCAGGACATAGGATTTGCGGAAGTCACACCCCAGTTCTCTTGATGCACCGAATGATTGAGGTTCATTCTAGAAGCAATGTCGCCTACCGAGACGCTTCACACATGGTGCGTGAATCGGCTGACTGTGTGCCGCCAAGCCCGTCACAGGCTAATAAACACGCTTCTTACACACACACTGCCACCAGGACGTTACACTCTGGCCGTGAAATGTCCAGTATAGGAAGCATCACCACACAAATAAATGAATAACACATGGACAGGACGCGCAATGACCAAAACCGGGCGTTGCTTCATCTGAGTAACTGGGGCCTAGGCCAGGCCACAAGAGGCATCGAAGCCACAAAAGTTGGAATACAAGGGTAGCACCCCTCCTTTTCCTGTTCCCTGGGACCTGACGAGACACCACCCCTTGGGGGCGAGAAACGAAGATAAAAAAAAAACAGCCACACGGCAAACGCCATTTAAAAGGTCGAGACTTGGACGGGCAGGGCGATGCGGCGGCGGCGCCAGTCTCCAAAAGCCTGCATATGTAATCAAATTAGCACGATTTATTGATCACTGATGTTTGGGCACGTGGTGCGTTCCAGTATTTAATTACCCAGTCTTTTTCTACTTGGTTTGTCGTACATACTACATCACAATACAGTACATACGCGTCCCGTTGAATCGGCGGCGGCGCGGGGCATGCAAGAACCGGTGATGGGGCGGCTTACGGGTTGCCGCCAACATCGCCCGACAACTGTCGTTGATTTTTTTATTATTAATCCCCGTCAGTCACAGGCGAGGGTTCCGCACCTTGTTGCCCCATGATGGACGGGCGGACCCAGTCAAAGGGAAAGTCATAACTAGTTAAGTACGGATAGACGAGGAAGCAAGTATGCCTCGCCGCGTTTGACAGGACCGGGGGGGCATGCCTAGGCGCAGAACGCAGACTTCGCACGACGGACGGGTTCCGTACGTTACAATGCGAGTTACAGCGGGACGGAATTAATTAATAACAGCCAGAAGAAGCAGAGGGAAAACGGGTTTGTGGATCAGATGATGCAACTACAATCGGTGGGCGTACCGCACAATTGCGCGATAACTAGTTAGTTACAGATGTCTCGTACATGACTACATACAAGCACCCAGACTGTCGGACAGCACACAGACTTGCCAGACGGGCTTTGCCGTTTGGCCCGGTGACTTGCTGGAGAAGGCGCCGCCGCGATGTCCGTGCCGGCAACGGGGTTTCCCATGTCCATGTCCCTCCTGGTAGTGGCCAGTCGTTGCCTATCAACAGTTTACAAACCTAATGCCGGTAGAGGCCCAAGAATAGGCATGCCACGCCACCGCATCGTGATTTGTTGCACTTGAACCTCGTCTCGGCATAGCGGCTCACTGGCGTCGCCCGTGGCACGAAGCTTTTGCATTGCAATTTGGTCCCCAGTGCTTGGTCCGTAGTGCGTAGTGCCCATCCCGCCTCGCAAGCCTCAGCTGTTCCAACAGCCCTCCTCACCCCCTCCAAAAAGCAAAAAAAGGTTGTAATTTTATTTTCGCGATACCGAATTGAACTTGTCGGCAAGTTACGGGAGTGCATGAACCCTTTCCCATCCAGCATAACGTTCAAAACTGACTGTTGCTTTTCCCAAAACCAACCCGCAGAGACGGCCGTTTGCTTTTCGGAGAAATAGGAGAAAGGAGAGACGGGGCTGCTTCATGTTGCGATGCGCACACGAATTTCCACAACGGGAAATCCTCTCGCGAAAAAAAAAAAAAAAAAAAAAACCACCTTTGGCAGCTTGGAGACAGCTAACTACATACATATCAGGATTTGGTTTCTGCCAGGCCGGGGGTCTAGGGCGGCGCATCCGTCGGAGCCGGTGCGGCCAGGGCCATGAGCTGGCTTCGCTGACGAGGCTACGACGAGACGCCCTGCGGCGTTTTCCATGACCCCGAGTGGCGGGCTCCGGCGACCTGGTTCTTTGCATAAATATAGAAACCGAGCAGTGACTTCTTTTCTTTTGCTTTGAGATGCCTGAAAGGACGGGAAATTGCAGCATCCAGAAAAAACCTCGATACCACAACAAACACCGCACACGTCAAATACACACACCCATCTCTGCCAAAACCATATCCCTGTCGCGGCCATTTGATTCGCTGCAGCGGGCAGTACGCCACAACTACCCAAAGGCTTGCAGACGCGCCGCCCGGTCTCCTGGGCTGGCCTGTCTGCCTGCATCCATCTGCATATTGCTCCATCACGGAGCAAATACGGAGTAGTAGACTTGGGCGGCAAAGATGGGCAAAGTTCGTTCAAAGCTACTGCTGGGGTCGCATCCTGGCCCGTACCAATAGGAATCCGTATCCGAGTGGCTTGTTGGAACTGTTGTAACTAGCGCTTTGTTGTTCCAGCGTCGTCCGTCTCCGTCATTGGCGTTCAACTGTTAGTCAGTGAAAGCCATACTCGATTGTCTGTTATTATTATGAGGGAGCTTTCTTTTAAACTACCAAACGAAAATACGGAAACGGTGGATCTCGCTTTTGGGTGCAGATGCCGTGTTCTTAATCTTGGCTTTTATCTTACCAGTCTCAGTATTAGCAGCAAGCCCCCCCCCATAATAAGGCACGCACACTACAATGACGATGCTTGATCATGTCTAAATTACGGGCCGAACATGCCGGTGCTTAACCAAGTCGGATATACCAGTACTGACTGATACGTCGAACCGCGGCATGGGCGAAAATGACGTTGACTTGCGGGCGCGCGCGCGTCCGGTTCCCCCAGCCGTGCTTCTTTGTACGACCTGCAATTCACTGCTGTGCATATACATGGACTTGATTGAAACCCCCTCCGACGTGCATCGGGGGGGCGGGATGCCAAGCTACCACCATAGGTAAGCCGATTTGAAAGACAATCCAAAAAAAAGAGTCTGAGTCGGGGGGGGGGGAGGGGAGGCCCAGCTCGCATGGCAGACGCATGTCTCACAGCCATCTGGGCTGGCACATCATGGGGGCCAGCCGGTTCAAGGGTTGGGGGGACAGTTGCGAAAGACATAATGGCGTACCTAGGTACATACGGAGGACATTGACCGCAGAACTGGCAATTCCATCAACAGAGTCAAAAAGCGGAAGTGAGATGGCATTACTCCGGCCGCCTTGTCCCTCCCAAAGACGGTCTCGAATCATTTGCCCGAATCTGTCTCGTTTACGGCGAACGAAGCCTTGGTACGGAGTAACTATTTGGTAGGAGCCTGCATGGTTTACTCGTTGCTGCTCCTTCCTGAAGCTATCTGGCTCTGGTGGGCAGTTTCCTTTCCATGTAACTACAACAAGGAGCCAAGAGTCGGCGCAACTTGATGCCCGGATTACTGGCCACCAAAAAAGGATGCGGCCGGGCGAAGAGACGGGATGGCACACTGACCAGTGGAGTAATGAGTTAGACAACCAGGAAGATGGCTTTTTTTCTTTTTGGACAGTCTCGCACTGTTCGGTTTTTTTGTTGTGAGAATAAACGAGGAGAACAGGACCACTCTCCGACCAGCCACAAGTTACAGGCGAAAAACCTCCCCGATCGCCTGGGACTGGGGGGAGAGAGGGGGCGCTGTGGCCGCCGCCACACCACTCATCACAGTGACTGACCACCGTAACTCAAGTCATATTAATAGGTACCTAGGTAGGTACCTAGGTGACGCGCGCAAGCGGCGGCCTCGAAGAAAAGAAATGCTAATGTGGTCGGGATACCACGCTCAAAGACAGGTGTCAGTCAGTCGGCGGTCGCTGTGTCCTTGCAATTTTTACTTTTATTTTTTTCAGACGGGGAGGCTGCTAGGTAGCTATAACCACATCAACAACAGAGTAGTCCGTACAACTACCGGCATCCTCGAGACATTTCTTAGACAATGATGTATGAGGCGGCGCATGTCCACGGTCAAGCACTGTGTGCAAGTTGGAGAGAAAACAAGGCAGCAAACACACACCCGCGCGCTGCCTTTTGCATCTCTGCTCAAACCAGTGGGGGACAGGTCGTCCGAGACGAGGCCGGAGCGCTGCCTTGCCCTGTTGCCTGCCGGGCGAACCACGTCACTGACGAGGCACACCGGTAGGCTGGGTCTCCGGCGGGGACAAAAGTCGCTAGTTACATATGTAGGTAGGTAGTTGGCTAAAAACTACCCTTATTCTTCAATTGCCACAAGCTCAGCTTGGATCTTGTTTGCCTGACGCTCTTTGCTCGACTTACAAGCTACCCCCATCTTACCACTCCTACCACCACTACTACTCCCCTCCTCTTGAACGGTCCTCGCCACGACTGTTACGCATACACTCGCTCTTCTAGATTTTTGTGACAATCTAGAACCGACCGCCGGCTACGAGAAGCATTTCCGACACCTGGGTTCATCGCCATCCAGACCTCACCAGAATCGCAACCGCTCAAGCACCGGCTGTGGAATGCGATAGAGTTGCGCCTCGTCTCATCTCGTTGTTTTTCCCACCGTCTCTGGCGCCGCCGAACCCCAAGGGCTCTCTTTTGAGGCTCACGGACAATCAGGGCGTCGAACCTGATTGCAACTCCGAAACCAAGCCGCCACCACGGAACCCGCCGTGGCTCTCACAGCATCTCCAACTCACAGAATGGCCGAGCAAAGCTTTACCATGTTCCTGCAACAGGACGACAAGGAAATGACACGGTACTCTGACCACCACTCTCACGGCGTTGCCTATACGTCGGCCTCGATGGATATGGGCATCCCCGCCGACACCTACAGCGCATATGCAGGCTCCCTCGCGACCACCATGGGCAGCCTCGAGCAGACCATGTACAGCAGCGAACACGGCATGCCCAGCTACATCCTCAATACCCGCACCTCGCCGAGCACATATCACGACGATGGCGATATGAGACTGTCTTCGTCGGGTCTGTCAACAGCTTCGGCGCCGTCGGCGCCGTCCTCTGTCGTCGGATCACCACAGTCACATACCGGCCATCTCGGCGTCCCGGAGTGGGCTACTATGCAACCCGGTATCGTGGGCGACTACATGACGGGAGGTGACTACCCGACTTTCTCGAGCTCGAATGTGGATGACATGTCGACATTTGATTTTACGCAAGCCAAGACTTTTGTTGGTGAGTTTTTTTTTCCATTTTCTTTTGCTATTTGCTATTCTGTATGGTTGGCTTGTTTTGCGCAACGTCTGATCTACTCCATTTCCTTTTCCCTTTTAATCCTTCCTTCCCTGGGGATGCATCACTGCGCAGCTGCTGCCCATCGACAGTCCTATATCCGACGTCATGGCTGCATCCTGAACGGCGGCGCCGAGGCAGCGTCAGGTTCTGTATCGGTGGACGCTGCAGCGCAGGACTCTCAGGTCGGTTTAGCGTGCATCGCCGAGCCACAGGACCCGCTTGCCCCGACTTGTTCAGCTGGCCACTTGCACAGCCAGCCAGCAAGCAGCCTACACAGCCTGCCTGTGGAACGGTTTTGTGTGTCCCCTTATGGGAGGCCTACAGTGCTCGACGGCCCTGCCACACACACCTATGCTCGCTAAAGGTTGGCTCCTGCAGCGTCCTTTCTGACTGCAGCGCAAATCTTCAGCCTCAGTGCCGTCTACCGCTGCCTGTCCTTGTCCCATCCCTCCTTTTCTTCATATGCCTCGCATCCATCGTCCATCGTCCATCATTCATCATTCATCATCACTTTTTACTTGCAGTCTTGCACCAATTCCTCTCCTCGTTTCCTCGCACTCTACCGAGTACACCGGGGGGCTTCGGGCTATTTCTCCAACCGAGACATTGCCGTGGGATGCCCACCAGTCTGTGCATTTGTCCACCACACTTGCACACTCAGCGCCCCAGTTAGCCGCTGGATCAACCACGCCTTGTCCCTCTGGTCTTTGCCCATATCTAAGGCCTAGAGGCCCCTCACGCACGGCTCCAGCCACGTCCACAACCCTCCGCCACCATTGAACCTTTTTTTATTTTCTTCTTCATTTTTATCCCACTCCATTGCCATAATCATAGTCGTTGCCCTGCAATTCTCTCAACCATAGCTTCCTGTTTGGCCTTCAATTCGTCGCACCCCGGTGCTCTACCGTGGCAGCTTTACTGACAAGATGATCCCGGCTCCAGATCCCTCGCTGATCCACCCTGAGATTGGACAGCCGAACCCAATGTCCTTTTCGCCATATGATGCCGGCTTCCATCAACCCGTCCATCCGTATCCCGCCTCTCCCTCGCTCGCCGCCTCGCCTCAACCTTCGATGATGCGCACCAGCTCCTCTTCTCCTTACCTCCACAATGGCTCTTTCCAGACCGGCTTCGCTCACAGTCCCTACGGCACCCCCATGGACCCCGCCGCTCGCCGCCAGAGCATGGCCGGCGGCTTCATTTCGCCTGGCTCTGCCGAGAACTTCTCCGGCGACGAGACCAAGGAGCGCCAGCGCTGCACGTACCCCGACTGCGGCAAGGTCTTCAAGGACCTCAAGGCGCACATGCTCACGCACCAGACTGAGCGCCCCGAAAAGTGCCCAATCCAAACTTGCGAGTACCACATCAAGGGCTTTGCTCGCAAGTACGATAAGAATCGCCACACATTGACCCATTACAAGGGGACCATGGTTTGTGGTTTCTGTCCCGGCTCCGGCTCGGCCGCCGAAAAGTCGTTCAATCGCGCCGACGTTTTCAAGCGCCATCTCACAACGGTCCATGGTGTCGAGCAGACGCCACCAAACTCACGCAAGAAGGCCCCCACCGGCAGCAACACCGGCAAAAAGCTTACTGGCTACGCGCCCGATGCTACTGGCAAGTGCAGCACTTGCTCCCAGACCTTCTCCAATGCACAAGACTTCTATGAGCATTTGGATGACTGCGTCTTGCGCATTGTTCAGCAAGAGGATCCTGCCGAAGCCATCAACGCCCAGCGCCTCGCCGAGGTGGAGAATGACAGTAGCGTTCACCAGACTTTGGAGAAGAATAATTTGCCTACCGCCACGCCTTCGAACCAGGGTACTCCCGGCGAAGAGGACGAAGATGACGAGGAAATGGAAGACGACGGCGAGGACCGCCTCAATGCGTCTCCCAAGAAGAAGCTGTCTCTCATTAACGGCGTTTCCAAGTCGCGTGGCCTAACGCATTCCCGCGGCGGTGTTCCCCTCATTGGCAAGACACGAGGTCGCAAGAATCGCAAGGATTACCCCTCATCTTGGGGCTTCGACAAGGGTCAAATGACCATGAAGAAGCGCATCATGGCCGTCTTCGATGGCGGGCGCCGCCTGGCCAAGGATGATCTGATGCTCTCTACCGACCGTGAGGTTCGCCTTAAGCTCTCGGATGGCAAGGCCTACGTCACAGACCTGGACGTGCAGACCATGAAGCGCGCTGAAGGTTTCCTAAACGCCACCGAGGACGAAAAAGGTCCCTGGATCTCCGACGACCCTACCGAGGAGCAGATTATGGAGATGCAGAGGGTACAACAAATCCTTAGCATCACCGAGCCCGCCGCAGACCCGACACCCGCTTCTTCGTGATCTTTCACAACGAAATGCGGAATGATATGACTTGCTGCGCCTAGCCCTCCCATACACGATTCAAGGGCAATCTGACGGAACCGGTTCCGAAGAGTCTTGGCTTTACAAATGCATTGCGACCAGGCGTACCCAACCCTTTTTTTATGACATGGAAGAATAGTGTGGAATGTTTGAATAATAGGAACATGTATTGTTCCAACTCGGCGGGACGATTTTAGTCGACTTGCAGGGCGCTTTCTTGGGGAGCGGAAGGCTAGTGCCACGGATTGATTGATACCCTGCTCTTTGTTTTTCAGTTGCTTTTTAGCGGATTTCTCTGCATGCTGTTTTGCACGGAACAGACGGCTGGCGTTTATTTTTGTTGAAGCATGTTTTACAATCTTGGTTCATAGGCGTCGGATCCTTCCCCTCGGCTGGGTAGCCAGTCCCGGATTCATACATCAGTTGTTCGCATATTTTTGCTTGTTAATACACTCATCTCAAAGCAACTCTCCTAGTACAGCCTTGTCATTGTGATTGTCGTAATTCCCTGCCACGTTGAGGTGACGGCGGACAGGAGACACAGAGCGGACTTTGAGCCGTTGTCCGCGGCGCTGTGAGGGTAAAGCCAACCTGGACCAGGCATATATCGTTTGTGGCGTTGTATATTCATAATGAGGTCATTGTCTGCCATGCCTCGCAACACAGTGAAATAAGAGAGACACAATGATTGCCTGCCAAACCTGGGGGATAGAAGGGGCAAGCCCGTCCATCTTATACCCAGTTTCGCAAACACGACCAAGAAGCCTTTCCCCCACCAACACAATTGCCGAACGCCTCAGCTGAAAAAAACAACAACACAAAAAGCCAACCATCATTCCAACGCGAGACACTTGTACCGTTGCGACGTTGCGCCGGAGCTTTTTCTCGCGGAGCGCACGAAACGGGAATAGCCAGTGCTGGAAACGATGACAACGGGGGAGGGGGATATCAGCTCGGAACAATCCCCCCCAGGTGGCTTCTTGTCCGGTCCGAACGGCTGAACGAACGGCGCTGGAATGTGGTTCGCGCAAAAAGCTTGTAAAGGCAATAGTTATCGTCCTCGACTGTTTTGTCACCAGACCAAATACCTCCGTGACCAAGTGAGTGTGTCGTCTCCGTGGGGACCTGAGCAGCAATAACTATAATTTCTTCCCCAAAAGTTGCATCGAAAGAAAGAAGAAAACCCAGGCCACAATTATTCATTCCCCCTTTTTCCAAGTTGAGCCTTTGATGCGCCCGTGGCAGCTGGGTGTTGTCCGACAAGGCCAAACCGTCCGTTCCCCCAGTGCCATTTCCTTCCTCCCTTGCCTGTCGCGGCTTGTCTCGAGACCACCCCCCCAGAAAACAAGCTTGGCGTTGTCCTAGTTGTTTCGTTGGCATCGACGCTTTTTCAGCTTTGCGTGCCACAGTGGGCGGGCTGCCCGTCGCTTCGGAACCCGTGGCAAGCCCAGCAAGGTCAGGCCCAGCAAGATCAATTCCTCTTGCCAGAACAACTGTAGTTGTGAATTCATTCTTGGGTTCATCGAGGTTGAAAGCAAAATCAATGGATAGTAAATTTCATTCACAAATTCACCTCTAGTTTGCTTTACTAGTACAATCACCGGCTATATAGTCAGACATAGTCACCGCCCGCCCAGCTCACGCCGCCTCCGTCGGCGGTTCCGCCTCCGCCCTCGTCGGGCCCTTTTCGTCCACAACCATGCTGAAATCATAACTTACGCGTAGATTTTGAGCACCGCTCAGTGCACTCGCCACCTTGGCCTCGTGGCGCTCGCGCACCAGCCGTCGCAGCGCGCCGACCAAAAAACCCGCCACCACGTCCACAGACCACCCGTCAGGGATGAGACGCAGCACCTCGTCCAGGTCGAACCAGCCTCCGAAGCGTTCCAGCAAGGCGCCCGTCTGCTCCACGCGCGCGCTGGCATCGTCAATGGCGAGGAACTCGCGAAGCACCGCGTGGAACAGGCGTTGCTGGTCCTTGATGGACGGCGGCGGCCGCGGCGCGTCGCCGCGACGCCGCGACGGGGATATGGAAAAGACGCTGGCGCCGCCGCCGCGTAGACAGTACGAGACGGCCGAGTCGTAGTCGCCCAGTTTGTGCACGAGCAGGCGCAGCGCTTGCTCGTGGCGGCTTTCTCGGCCTGCGAGAATAATCGTCTCCGGCACGAGCAAGTCCCCGGGCAAGCTGCTGATGCGCTGTCGGATGCTGGCTGTATTGTAATCGTTTGCCCCCCCTAGGAGCTGAAGCAGCCGGAGTCGGTTCTGCCACACCTCATTGTCTTCTGGTGTATTTGCCGTGAGGAAGTGATGGTATGTGGGCTTAGGCGCTTGTAATGCCCTGTATGTTGCGTAGGCAGCCATGACCGCATCTCGACTGACCTCGGAGTTTTTCAAATCGTCAATGACACTGTCCAAATAGTAGAAGATGAGTTCGTTGATATATGCTGTATGTCCTTTCCCAAACGTCAGGTGTTCGAGGAAGTGCTTCACCGCCATAGGTGCTTCTTCTCTCAAAATCTCAACCACCTGGTTGGGCTCGAACCTGGCAGCTTTGGACTTATCCTCGGCAAAGATCTCCACGCCCAGTTTTGGATTTCGTCTGGCCAGCCAAACACCGTATTCTTTTACCAGTGACTGGTTGCTGATTTTGGAGAGATAATCTTTAATACGCAGCTCGCCGTCTTGTAATTCTTGTCCATCGTCGCGCTCACCCTCGAGGATGCGCCTCCACGTCGCTAGAACATCGCCAGCCATTTTCCGGCTCTGATATAAGCGACTGAGGATGAAGAGGCGATGGTGGGACTCGAGGATATCGACGGCGCGATCGAAGCAATCCACCCCCTTGTCAACAAGTTCATGAAGCTCAATCTTGACGGGGCTGTGTCTTCCAAGTGCCTTGGGAGCGCGCCGGTCCAACTCGAGGAGGACAAGTAGCAGCGCAGCCTCTACTGTCCTAAACACCTCTCGCTCATCGGGTACACTTCCGAACCCTTTCATTTTTCTCCATGTCGAAAGGAAGCGGCGCAGAAAATGAAGCGTTCTCGACTCCATATTCCCGATGCTGTTCTTTGCGATCGCCTCAAACTCATCGCTGCAAAGAATCATCTCTGTGACTTTCTTGACGCCACCATAAATCCATATTCCATTCTGCCCCTCGATAATCTCATTTCTGACGCCAGGAATCATGGAGAGAACAACTCGTGGATCCAGTTGACTGTCCGCAAATATTTCTTCTATAGCAGTTACCTCTGGATCCGCTAATTCCTTGTGCGGCGGCGCGAGGAGCAGAGCGCCCAAAAGTAAGATTCCTGCCTTTTGACGTAAATACCGAAAAGTCATAAATTCGAGTTCTGATTTTGCCTCCCGGCGTCGAATCCGTGCTATTGTACCAAAAACAGCATCTTTGTTCAGCTTGTTCGGTAGCAATTGGCTGTCATTGGAAGCCCCCAAGGCACTTTCCAGTTGTAAAATCAGTGGATTCCGAACTGCCCACCAGATTTTATCGCCAGACCAGGCTACCAGTTTCGTTGATACTTTGGACAATCTTCGAGCAAACTCCTCGCCTTCAGATACACGAGTGGTCTCCCACCCGTCAGGTAAAGATTCGTCGTCTTGCGAGTCAACGTTCCTCTCAAATAGCTCCTGTTCCTTAGACAAACGCTCTATAGACCCAGCCGTACGGGAGTCGAGGCTTTTCAGAGATGGCAATGATACCACATTGGGGTTGGGGAACGATGAGAAGCGCTTTTCACTGAGCTTCTCCACGATCTCTTCAAATATCGTCTCTTCGCAGCCAAGAAGCGACCGGATACCATATGGATCCTTTGGCTTCAAGCCCGTCGCATAAAGCCAGTGCCTCTCAGGGTGAGCCTCACTTCCAGCATCCACCCGTTGGATTTCAATGCCAAATCTCGGACTGTCTCGATTTTCAATATCCAGGGAAGCAAGAACATACCCGTCGTCTTCATCGGACAATCCACTCCGAGACGACGCCAGGTTCATGCTCCCGCCATCTATCACGACTTGTTCAGGGTATTTCTGGAATGATATAGTTGGCCGAGTTATGTCGCCATCTAAATTGATGAACATGCCGATTCCGACCTCATCAGGGTTGGTGCCAGTCACTATCAGAAATTCCTCCGGAGTAGGTGAGGCAATATGAGGCCTGAGTGCCGGAGGTCTTGACATGTCGGATGACTGGCGGGGTTGTGATTCCGAGGGAACATCAGGCAGAGCCTTGTCAGCGATGAGATCGGATTGCGGTGTACCGGGCTGATCTGGGGAAGAAGATTTTCTTGATAGACCACCACCATGATCCTGTTGGCGGCCCAGATTGCCGAGAATTGCCCCCCCAAAGCTGGAGCTCCGTGTGTGGCTCTGTGGGGTAGAGTGTCGAGCAGCTTGAGAGGTTGACGCGCTCCTAGATATTCCACCAGCCTCTACAGCTAGATTCGCTGGTTGAGATATAGATTCGGGCGAAGTTGGTGGCTCCAAGGATGATATGCTCATTAATGGGATCTTCAGTTGCTTCTCGACGTCCAGAAGGGCGTATAGCTTCGAATCCGCAACACAGGCGATCGTGTCTCGGCGTACGGAAAGACAGCTAGCAGAGAAGTCTATATTCTATGGGGGAACAATTAGCTCGTTAGACTGACGGAGTAGTGACAGGTATATACATACTCTAAGACGCCTTGGATTATCGCCAATACGAACCACTTGTATCTTCTTCTTCAACGACATTAATACCGTAACTGGTTCTGGTTCATTACTCGGGTCTTCGCTTATTATTGGGTCGTTTAGGTCAACACCCCCTATCCAGCTGCAATTTTTCACTTGCGTTGACTCGAAAACTGGTGTGAGCTCGGGCAGCGAGTAAAAGGTTACTGTCGAGTTGCAGAGAATGCAAGCCTTGCCCGCGCGTGGCAGTAATAAGATTTGCTGTACTCCAGGTCGCAGTCCTCCATCCGTCTCCAAAAATGGGGGCACGAGCCTTGATGCCGAAATAAACATCGGTTTTCCATTTTTATCGGCAGGGTCGGGTGGGATTCGGACAAAGTGCAAGAGCTCGGAGGCGGACGTGCCGACGTAAAGATTTCCGTCTGCGATGTCCGTTAGCGAAGCACAAGCGATGATCTTTTGCAAGATTTACCATAGTATTCTATGCAATTGATTTTGACATCGCTCTGGGAGCCATCGTCGGAGAGAGGTACATCGTCTAGCAATGGTTGCAATAAGTAGGGTCCATTTCCAGCGCTCGGCAGGTCTCGCTGACTGCTGCCCTGCTGCGTCATTGTCGTATCCTTTTCGCGTCATTCATTTGAAAGCTCCGCATGCGCCGCGTCGCAAACACATGCCCGTTCAACGAGAGAGTCGTCCGGTAGTTGTCGATTATTGAGTGACCTTTTGATGGTACGTTCGGTCGAAGCTCAAGAGGGCTGAAGTGGGGCACAGCGACGTCAGCCCCTTGTGGCGCGACCAACGTGTCTGGACCTCTGGAGCTCTAACTCCTTCACTGGTGTACCACGACCTCTCGAATCGCCCTTTACACGCTGCTCGAAGCGCGCTGTTGATTTATTGCCGTCTGAGCATTAATCCCCAATCGCGCACTGTGGATATAGAGTCTATGCTAGTCGTGTTGTGGAATGACTAGTATGGCGACGACAACAGACGGAGCTGCACATGCAGCTGCAGCCGCGGATTCTGGGGCCGCTGGGGATACTGGAAACAAGTTCCAGCATGCGATTTCTGCATGGAGAAGTCAGTATTTTTGCGACTTCTCTTCAAGAAAAAAACACGTATTGATGCGACTCAGCAATCGATCTTACCACCCTCACTTCGAATCTCGATAATACAGCCTCAGATATCGTTACTTATCAACGTGACTCAACTGTACAACGCAAGGACCTGGCTCAAAAAACGAAGGACTTTCGAAAACTCGAAGATTCTGCAAAATTGACAGAGTTTAAGGGATTACTGAAAGGTACTCCACAACGAACTACATGCAACGTAGACTGAGCTAACTGTCCCCAGCCTACCAAACCTTTATCGACCTCTTAACGAATCACTCAAAGGCCGTGAACTCGGCTTTCCTACAAGCATACTCGTCTATTTCCGAAGCGCCCGACCCATACCCATTGCTGGAAGCCTCCGTTGATGCTATGCTGGTGTCGGAAGATACTGCCCCGAAGCTCAGAGACGAAAATAAGCACCTGCAAGAGAATGTCGCGAAACTTACTGCGCAACTCGAAAAGACCGAGGAGAAACTACAGTCTGAGCTAGCAGCGCGCAAAGACCTGGAGGATAATCTGAATACGAAAGTGAAGGATGTTGAATCGTCCTGGAACGCTGTGTTGGGCGAGCGCAAAGACAACTGGGAGGCGAAAGAGAAGAGCCTGGAAGAGAAGGTTGAGAGCCAAGAGAGACTACTCAACGAGCTGAAGGCCACCTATGAAACAAATCAGCGCCTCGGAAAAGCCGGTGACGATCAGGAAGGAATGCGCAACCAGGCCTCCAGAGCGGAACTCGAAATGCTGCATTCTGACTTGGAACGTACAAGTGTGCGACTGGCAAATGTTGAGTCTCGAAACGAACAAATGAGGCTGGAACTGGCTGAAGCTAAGTCTAGGGCTTCGTTGCCGCCAAAGGCATCGTTGGAAGACGACCCCGACTATGTGAGGATGCGGTCCGAGAACTCATCGCTCATTCGAAAGCTTGACAGCACAAGGCTAGAGAAGGAAAGTCTCAAGAGAGAGCTCGATACCAAGGTTCGATCCACCGAACGTGAAGTAGCTTTACTCAGGGACGAGAAAGAATCGCTCCGATCAAAGGTGCAGAAATGGAGTGATTACGATGAAGTGAAACAGGAGCTAGAAGTCCTCAAGAGTATTGAGTTTTCTACCGGCGATGACGATGACGATATTCCAACTGACAGGGACGGCGACACCGATGCCGGCAACACCTTGGAGAAACTGCTCCTAGGACGCAACAAGAAGCTGGGTGATGAGCTCACGGTGCTAAGAGTTTCGCATCAAGACTTGCAAACAAGATTAGAGGACTTGCAAGAAGATATGTCCAAAACGAATGCTGATCTCGAGAGAGCTCACATCTTGAATGAGAAGCTCGAAGGGGATTTGGAGCAAATGCACGCAGAAGGAGCAAACGCTTTCCCGTCTGGGGCATCCGTTGCGGGAACATATGTGACACGAGCACAGACCCGACGCAGTGGCAGAATCTCGCCAACGTCGTCCATCATCAGTGGATTAGACCCTCGCGGAGGCGGGGGTGAAAGGGAACCAATGGGCGGAGGGTCTGGAATCCTCCCGATGGTGACGGCGCAGCGAGACCGGTTCAAGCAGAAGAACGCACAACTGGAACAAGATGTGTCGGATAGCCACAAAGCAGTGCAACAGCTACGACAAGAGGTGGCAGCGCTGCAAAAGGACAACCTAAATTTATACGAGAAGACACGATACATCTCAACATACAATCGCTCAGGCGCAACATCATCCTCGGCGATTGCGTACGGGGGAAATCCGAACCCATCCACGGTAGCCATCGGAGAAACAGGAACTCCAGGCATGGCCATGGACAGATACCGCGCAGCGTACGAGTCCAATATTTCGCCGTTTGCTGCCTTCCGCGGGCGCGAATCAGCGCGGGCCTATCAGCGGATGAGCCTACCCGAGCGCGCGGTCTACTCCATCACGCGAATGGTTCTGGCGTCGCGCAGCAGCCGAAATCTGTTTGCCGCATATTGCGTCGCACTGCACCTGCTCGTCTTTATGTGTCTGTACTGGCTCGGCGCGTCGGACCTAGAGAAGCACGCGGGCAGCTTGGGCGCTTCGTCGTCGGCGGCGGGGGCGGCCGGTGCTGCGGCCAAGAGCGCCGGAGACGGTGGGAAATGGAAGGAGGACGCCTTTGCGGGCAGCTAGTGGTGGATGCTCTGGCCGACGACGGTGACAGGTGTGCAGTAATTACTCGGGCGTTTTTTTTTTTTGCATGTTGTGAGTTACGATTGGCTAGGCCAAGCTGTTACAGGATTCGACCAGCTCTCTTGGCAGCGCGTACTTGCGGGAAGGGAGATGAAGGGGGTTGTCTGCAAATAAACAATACAAAATACAAAGACTAAACTACCACAAATTAGTGTTTGCCACAATGTACACGTATCTCACCTACCTGCTGCCACGCAACCGGGGACCTGGGCCAGTTTCAAACGTGCGCAGCCAATGTCATGATGCTGCAGGCCCAATCAGGGACAGAACTGGCTGCAAGGCAGGATCTAAGACAAGGGTTGGTGCATGTGCCGACATGCTGCTACTGGCCCCGGTGAGGGGGCGTCCAGGTAGCCGCCCAAGAACCGTCAGTGGCTTGCTGCAGCGACAAGAATCGGGTGCTTGCCTGCCTTTGTCTACACCAAATTGGATCGAAGGACGCATTTGTATCCGTAGAAAATAGATGAATAAAAAAACGTCACTGGTACTTTCTGTGCCCTGCGAGACTGCGTAGTTCGTGTCGCTGCCCTGAAGCGTACCTAGATACGTACCTATCCCGATAGGATATGGCCCAGGCGCCAGACTCGTACTGGCACTACACACACGTTCGTTATCCCATGCCTGTGCGATGACAATGTCACTGTCGATTTCATGGTCCTGTACTCCGTACGCGCCCTTTGTACCGCCTTCCCTCAGCCAATGACCGACCAGTCGCTCCAGGGGTCCCCCGAGCCCCCGCCAGCGATTGGGCGATTGGATCAGCGGCCACGCTTCTAGGCGCCGCCCGCCAAGCCCCTCCCCCCCCTGCCACTTCCCCCCGCCATTAAGCCAGCCTAGGCCGCCCGTAGTGGACCTAAAGACGGGCGGCACTGGGTCGTACTACGTACTAGCAGCCGAGAATCTCGACGACGCTGTTCAGCTTGCAACCTTGCCACGCGACATGAGCCTCCAGCATCTCTCCTTCACCTATTTTTAGTGTCTTTGATCTCTCTTGTGGGCGTCTGCACTCCCGTTCGTCCTGCCCCCCCTGGTCCTCTACGCCTGACCAATCTGCGGGTACGTGCAGCCTATTGTCCAGTCTATTGTCCCGCGCCCCATTGTCCACGCCGAGTGGTCGGTCGCCCTGGTGGATTCTAAAAGCACAGGGCGGCTGCGGCTCGGCAATCATGACATGGTAGGTTTGCTGGGTTTGCTGGGTTTGCTGGGTTTGCTGGGTTTGCTGTTTGCAAGGGTATATCAATCGAGAATGTCTCTCTTTTCCCCCATTATGATTCCCTCTTCTTTCTGGAATTATACCTCTCTTATTCACCTATAGAAACCACAGACAGCCAGGGCTGCCGTGTCTTTTTCTTCGCTTTTTTTCTTTGTGTTTTTTTCCTTTGATTTCCTAGAGTCTTTCTTATCGTCTCTCTGGAGGATATTTGTTAGAGTTCCCTTTTGCCGTTCGATTCGACTCACATCTGAGAACACGTCTTCACCCCCAAGGTTGCCCGCTGGAACAGGATCCTTGACAACAAACACAATGCGTTTCTCGACATTCATCGTCTCTTCCCTGGCTGCTACCGCCTCTGCTGCCCCGACATGGCCCAATCTCCAGATCGGCGGTCTTGGTAATCCCCTCGACGCAATCAATGCCGTCTCTCAGTACTTCAATCTCGTTGCCGCCAAGACATCAAAACTCAAGACTACAAGCGCCCCCCCCCAGTGCGATCTATCCAAGGCCGTGATGCCTACCTGTGCGTCATCCCCCCCCCTTGCGAAATCGTGCTTTCCGTGCTATGCGTCTAACTCTTTGCAGTACCCGGATTGCCCGCTCCCGCTGCCGGCTCCCGGCTCCGTCATGTCGCCGTCGGTCGCGGCACACAAAACTATACCTGCGACGGCAACGCGGAGTCCAAGCCCAAGGCCGTCGGCGCCGTCGCCACCCTCTTCAATGTCACCTGCATGGCGGCCATGTACCCGGATGTCACCGGCAAAGTGCCCGGCATGGCAGTCCACTTCAACCTCGACGCCGCCAACCGCCTCGGCCCCGCGATGCTGCCCGTTTCCGGCCACCACTTCTTTACGGCGGCCGGTGTTCCTTTCTTTGACTTGGGAGACGAGGGGCAGATTCCCTGTGCCAAGAATGCCAGCGTGGATGCCCCCTCGACCGCGACTATCGGTCAAAGGGGCGAGGTCGCCGTTGCCTGGCTGAGGCTCCTGGCCACCAAGGACGCCACCAATGGTCTCGGTGAAGTCTTTCGTGTATCAACTGCCGGCGGCAGCCCCCCGAAAACATGCCAGGATCTTAATGGTCCTTTCCAGGTCGAGTATGCTGCCGAGTAAGTAGTCTACACTCTCCTTTCGTCCGGCGTCTGCTAATCCCAGCTTCCACTAGGTACTGGTTCTGGTCGAAGTGAGCAAGGATTGTATCAAGTTTTAGGGAACGCTTTGGGCGGCCTTTTTTTCTCCCTTTCAATTTATCATTACATTTTGTCATTAACACGAATTCTTCGCCATTTATGTTCTTACCTACGGGCGTAGGGCTATTTTCTGAGATGGCTTGAGCAGAATTTTTAATCTAAACATTTTTTTTTTGACATATTGGCGCCATTTTATAATTTTAAACATATTGTAGAGGGCTCCTGACATGTTGCAAACAAGCTGACATGTTGCAAAAAGGCTGACATGTTGCAAAAAGGCTGAAATCTCTGCGCAAGGCCAAAAGCATATGTGCAAACGCAGGCTGGGTCATTATACTAAGGCATCACAGAAACACCCCCCCGCTCGCGTACCTAGGTACCTTTCATAGGCGCCGCCCAGCCTAACTATCTCCAAATGGGTCGTGTATGCCACCACGTATATTTGATCTCACCAGTTACTAAAATTTGCTGTCATAATATTTTTAGCCGAGAACACCGTCCTCGTTTCTGCTTGAAAAACGTGTCTTTAGGCGTGGTTGCGGATTGGCGTCGTGTGACTGCGCCTGCTCACTACGTCCTCGACGAACCCGTGTCGCCATTGGATGCCGTCCCTATAGCTCACGAACTGATCAACAAATACATCGGTGTCCAGCCAAACATTGAGAGCTTCCATTTCGAATGGATTTGCGGCGGTGAACTGGCTTCTGGGCGTCACCAACGGGCTCAGCATATCCTCCCCGCTCCGTTTCTTGCATCGCCCATGGCCATGACTCGGAGAGCCATGACCAGTTGTGGCAGAGATGACACCCTGCTGCGACTCCCACACGTGAAGAATCTATCACTCAAAAATTGCTGGGTGGCGCCACATGTGCTCCTGCAAGTGCTTCGGAGCTACGCTCTCTGCTCTTTGGAGAGGGTCGAATTCGAGGGCGTTTCGCTTTCTGTTATGCCATGGACGGCAGGGCACGGATCGAGCATAGATTTGTTCAATTTGGGAGATACGAACATATCTCTGCATCTTTTCCGTCTTGGCTTCCAGCCCCCGCTGGCACAGCCTTCCTGGTTATCGTGGGCAGGGCTCATTGAGCATTTTTCGCCCAGTGTCAAGGTCCGACATGTGCTCGATCAGGGAGAGAGTCACAGCACCAAGCTCAACCGTGCCGAAGATCGACGGAAGATACTCGAACGTTTGCGAAAAATTATTCCTGATGCACTGGCGCTTCCCGACGAAGCGGCCCTGTACAGGATCAAATCGCTGACTTTCAAGTCGTGCGGCTATGTCAATCTCGACCATCGCGCATTCAGCCTCAGGGGCATGGTTCCGCTAAGACATATATCACCATTTTCGTGTGCTACTACCGCGTTAGAGTTCACGCGGTACATGCAGGATTGCAAGGAACCTCTGATGGGACGCATTGTCCCCTTTGCCATGTTAAATGACATGGCGCCGTTCCGTGACGTCTTTCATATGGTCATGGGGTGGGAGGGCGTGTATGACAGCCAAATAAAATCGGCGGCTTTACTAGACGGATGTGGGAAGGTCGACATAGGGCGGTTTTCCGGCACACTGACCAGCTGGGACGTTGATGCAGACACTGGCGGACAGGTCCAGTCGGCGGCTGGCAGCTGAGAGCACGAACAGTTGGCGTACGACGGCAGAAATTCCTCCAGATTGCTGCTGCCGCAAATTCGAATTTATTTTGCCATCCGAGCGTATTGGGGAGCGAATAGGACCTGGTGCGTTCAAAAGTAGGGGCAATAGCGTCGGTAGCGGTATACCGTCATGGGAGCAAATACCAGAACAACTGTCTAGGTACTGTAATGATATAGCTGGATTTTCAATATAAAATATCCTGCATTAATCAGTTTCGCACAGCCAGGACTTAACGTCTCCTATGTACTCTGCCAGTTTTCATCCCTTTGCTCTCCAAAACAACACCACACATCTTTTCCCAGCAAGAAGCACTCCGTGGTTAGAAAAGAAAGCCAAAATCACATTTCAAATACGCAACAAATACCGGACCGTTACAAAAAAGAAATCAAACGCCGTTTGCCTATGGTGCTTCCATGAAAAAAAAAATACCCTAGTGCTTTTCTCTTCTCCCGTTTTATATGTGTGAGCCCGAATGCTTGCGCAGTACTCTCGTTTCTAGAACCTGCGCCTCGGCTAAAGTAATGTGCCGCATGAAAAGATGTTATTTTTGTGGCATTGTGCCAAGGAAAAAAAGAAAAAAAGATGAATGCGAAGGATCAAGTAGGGAAAGGGGACAAAAGCTGCAATACTCTTACACACAGAAATGGCAACTAAACCTGATTACCAAGTTTCGGCAATGTACTGTCCAGCCGCCTTCTTGAGATCCCAAAAGTTACGGGCCTCGTTGCGCTCCAGGTTGCCCTTGGACATGGCGACATCGATCAATGCCTCCTCGACACCCTCGCCCATGCCCTGCGAGCTACCGCACACAAAGACGCGCCCGTCGACCGCGTTGGCAATGTACCACACGAGATCGGCCTGGTTGCGGACCTCCTCTTGGACATAGCGTCCTTCGCCGCGACGGCTCTGCACGACACGCTTGACTTCTTCCTCGTGCACGCCCCACTCACCACTGTAGATTTCATCGACGAGGGAGTCACGGATGCCTTGGAGGACCCAGACCTTGTTGGCGCAGTTGGCCTGCTTGAGGCGGCGCTGGACAAAGCCACGGAAAGGGGCAATACCGACACCGGCGCCAATGAGCAGCATGGGCCCATCCGAGTTGAACTCCTTGGCAAGGGGGTTGGCCATGAGGCCCTTGAACATGGGGACGAAAATCTCAGGACTAGGCTCACCAGCAGCTTGAGCCTTGAGGAAGCGCCGGGCCTGGCGCTCAAAGAAACCAGAGCCAACACCAGTTCGAGAACCCTTGCGCCAGTCACTCGTCTCATGAACGGTGACAGCTATTTCGATCAAGCGGTGCTCCTTCTGGTCGCGCATCTGGTATGAATCATGAGGGTCGTTGGAGAGGGAGTAGAAGCGAGGCATAAGCTGCTGCAGGACAGACAAGAGCTCGTCCAGAGGCGGCTGAGAGCTGGGGAAGGCGTACAGAAGCTGCGAGACGGTAACATGGGGTCCCGAGCGGATATCGCAGAACGTGCCCTGACCTTGGGCGGAGCAGAGGAACATGAGAACCTTCTTCTCCGTCTCATCAGTGGCGTGCTCAGCAAGAACACGGAACACGTTTTTGGTAGGAGGGTAGGATTGGAGGTCGGTGCACCACTTGAGCAGATCCCGCCGAGATGTGACCAGTTCACGAGGCTTCTCGTCACCCCAGACGGTCGGATAACGGCCGGTGGTAGTAGTCATCAGAGTCTGCTTGTCGCGGACGAAGCGGGGGACCATGAGACGGTCAAGGACATCATCGACAACTTCGTCGTCGTTGGGGGCGAGAACTCCAATGGCACCGCCGACCTTGAAATCATTGGACTCCTCATCGGGGTAGTTGGTGACGTCAAGGTCGAAGTGGTATGTGCGCTTTTCAGCACCGTCTTTGGTGAGCTCGCGAAGAGTATGAATCTTGGCAGGATAGACGTGGTATGGAGGGTGCGGCTGCACAAATTTGGGCGGCTGGATGGTGGTGTCGAGAGGTTCACTGGCCACGGGCTCCGATTTCTTTTCGACAGAGGCAGTGGAGACAGTGTCGGCATCAGGACCCACGGAAATGCCCGAGTCTGATGGAATGCTCAGAGGGCGGGGAATCGACTTGAGCGAGACAACCTTCACTGGCATATCGGGAATGCCTGTCAGGCTGGTAGGGATCTCGTCGGGAAACTTGAGGCCGAGAGAATTGAAGGCCGTATTGTCGGGCAGGACGAGGGGTTCGTAATCGACGCCAGTTGAACGCTTGCTGCCCAGCAAGCAGCAGCCTCCACCGCAGCAGCGACCAACAAACTCCGCCGTCGTCTCGCCCGTAATGCGCTGGATATCGCGGGCGCTCTGGGCAATGAGCCGCGTGGAAGCGCGACGCTGGCGCGGCTTTTCGGTGCGTGTTGGCTCCTCGGCATCGTCCGACTCGTCAGAGAAGGTCAGGGATGGGGCAACCGATGGGGCATTAGCGGGCTCGCAAGGGACACAGTCGCTTGTCGAGGCAATCAGAGCCTTTGCGGCCGCGCCAGTAAGCGACGACTCAACCATGATGCGTGTGCGAGCAGTCGCGAACTGTTATTCGTCGGTGGTTGTGTGGCAGACTTGCGATGGTGCTCACCAGGGTGTCGAACAGGCTTAGTTTTTTTTTCCTTGCCGGGGTGGTGGGATGGTGGTGTGGCGCGTCTGGGGGCAGTGGAATGGAGCACCAGAGAAGGCCGTGTGGGAAGCAGGTGCAAATGGCGGTTATTAGTAGGGAGATGTGTAGAGAGAAAAAGGTTTTGAGAAGGATACAATTGGAGAACAGGAAACAAGAATTAATCAAGGTCAGAGTGGTGGCTCCAAAAAGTCGTTGGGGGTGGGAGGGGAGGCGGGCGTCGGTAGAAAAGGTAATTTGACGGAACAGTGCGAGCCGCCGCCCGAGGTCGTCGTTGGGAGGCCTGACAAGAGGGTGGGCGCCGGAGTGCGCGAGCCAGGAGTGCTATTGGCACAAGAGCTTTTTGCTAAGGGCACGAGCCTCACGTGATAGTGAACTTCAGAGGTACCGCAATTAGCTAGCGTAACCCCAGGAAACCAAAGTACCTACTAAGTACTGCTAAATTTGGTACTTAAAGGCTATTATGGCTAGAAGAACCTTTGCCTAGCGGTTGCTATCTTGATGGGCGAGTTGGTGACTGTTCAGAGGCTTTCTTTAAGATGTTTGGTAGCGGCGCGACTGGCAAGATGGTGCTGGTCGGGGAGAGCTGGGGAGAGCCATAACGGGGATAGAATATATTAAGAGGTTTAAAAGATACTTATATATATATAATAGACATTAGAACACACGTTCATAGACGTAGAATAGGTATATAAAAAAAAACTTACTAACTTAAACTAATATAAATACCTATTTGAAAGCTATTTAACTATTGACAGCAGCAGTGCTAGTTGTTACTACAACCCTCCAGGCCAGTTTCGTCATACTAATTAGTAATTGGTTTTAGACAAGTTTCAAATTTATAGAGTATTATATAAGGGCAATATTATTATAATAAATATATCATTATACTAAGATGTATAGTGTATATTAGAAATTAGTAGGGCGACCTTAGCTGAACTTACTGAGGTACCCGTAGGTGAGATCCTACCTGGATTTCATCCAACAAAGCTCTCTCCACATATTCGGGCTGGCCTGCTGGTCTGCCCCGCGGCACGCCCTGTCTGAGGGCACCCGCCTGGACCATTTCACCCCACGCAACTCTTCTAGAAAAGTATTGCCTCGACCCTTGCGGCTTGGGATAGCATCGCGAGAGAGTAGCGACGTTATACGAATATTTTTTGTCCATTCAGAGCTGGGGGACCGTTACCACCGAAAACACTCAGCAAACGGCCACGGAGCCACCGCACCACCATGGCCAAGGTTCCTCGCAACTTCCGCCTGCTGGAGGAGCTTGAAAAGGGTGAAAAAGGTCTCGGCGCTGAGGCTTGCAGTTATGGCTTGGAGGATGGCGATGATTTGCTCATGAGCAACTGGAACGGTACCATATTAGGACCTCCTCACGTATGTATTCCTCTGACACCAGCCTAACATACGTTCTGTGACACACCTGTCCCGTACTAACCGCCTTGTAGTCTGTCCACGAGAACCGAATCTACAGCCTCAAGATGCACTGCGGCGATACGTACCCCGATGTCCCTCCCAAGATCCAGTTTGTCAGCCAAGTCAACCTGCCCTGCGTTGACCCCCGCAACGGCGTTGTCGACCCGTCGATGCTTCCCTGCCTTGCGCAATGGAAGCGCGAAAATACCATGGAGACCATCCTGATAGAACTGAGAAGGTGGGTGGAACTGAACTCCCGCTGTCCATCACACCGTTGCAGCAGAACTAACGGAAACTAGATATATGGCCGCCCCCAACAACAAGAAGATTCCCCAGCCTCCCGAGGGAGCTACCTACTCATGATTGCCAGGGTGGTGGAAGTGCATGGGCAATGAACAAGTATCGCCGCTAGAATGCCCAGAGCGACAACTGCTAGAAGGACTACGCGCGTCTCTATGGCAATGCATAGCTTATACGAGATACATGGAGCATTATCATCAGACGAAATATTATTAAAACCAAACACATTTACATCGCTCGAGAGAAGCCGTTGGCGGATACCTATGACCCTTTTGTTGGCTGACCAGCTGGATCATCCAGTGAAAAGTGAAAGTGTCTGATAGCATAAAAATTCGGATATTCTCGAACGACTTTTAAAACTGGCCTGTCTTGACTAGCATGGACATTTCGGGCCTGTTGTCAATATGCACGTTGCCCCAACGCAGCCATCACGTCATATAAACGGAGGATACCCCGCCGGGCTCAAAGCCATCGATAGCTCGACTGAAACCTCACTTTGACATCCCTACATCCCTCCATCGATTCAACGTCCCCTCGTACTTTGCCATGGCCACGGTTGACACTTCTCTTCCCCCAGAGCCCTCTGGAGCTGCTGCAGGCTTGGCTGCTCAGCACGCTGACGCCCACCCGCTGAAGCTCTACGGCGGTTGGTTTTGTCCCTTTGTTCAGCGCTCCTGGATCGTTCTTGAGGAGAAAAAGATCCCCTATCAATACATTGAGATCAACCCGTACAAAAAGGCTGAATCATTTTTGGCCATGAACCCCCGAGGCCTTGTGCCAACACTTGCCGTGCCAGCTGGTCCGCAAGAGTCAGCGCGGAAGCCTCTGTTTGAAAGCAACATTATCAGCGAGTACTTGGATGAGGAATACGGCGATGAATCAAAACATGGACCCCATTTGATGCCCAAGGACGCCTACGAGAAAGCACGCGCTCGCCTCTGGATCGACCATATCAGCAACAAAATCATCCCTGCATTCTACAAGTTGCTGCAGCACACCGACGAGAAGCCATTCACGTTAGATGAGGCCAGGAAAGAGCTTCATAAACATATCCTCGCACTCACAGATCAGATGGACTCGGAAGGTCCGTTTTTTGCAGGCAAAGAGCTGACCATGGTGGATGTCTGCTTGGCACCATGGGCTAAACGCTTCTGGCTCATTGATCACTACAAAAGTGGCGGTGTAGGGATTCCTTCTCAAGGTCAAAGTCAGGAATGGGGAAGATGGAGAGAATGGTTCAAGGCGATTTCGGAGCGCAAGAGTGTAAAGGACACCTGGAGCGCTGATGAGCGCTACCTTGTCGCATACAAGAGGTATGCCGATGACACTACCAACTCAGAGGTCGGGCAAGCGACGCGTCAGGGGAAAAAACTTCCTTAAAATTTGACTATCGTCGACGAGATACTTTGATTCCCGCTTTTCATAGTATTCATCAGTATTATTTATGATGTTGTATTCATCCAAGCCAGGTGCTTATAATGCGATGCATGAGGCGTGCCCCACATGGCCGCTCAAAAGGGCAACCAACGAAGAAGTCAACCACGGCCAATCGCAAAAGTGTCAACCACAACCCGCCAGGCAGCAATGTCGGAACCAGGAGCGTCGCGGTTCACGCCGCAAAACAAGACGACACAGGAGCGCCTCTCCACGCACACGGTCGGCCTCGTCGCGCTCTCCGACTTTCGCAAGCGCCGCGCCGAGGTCCTCGAGCAGCAGGGGCGCGAGGCCCGCGATGCCAACGCCACTGGGGCCTCGACGCCCGTCGACCGCTCGCAGACGGGCACCCCCGACAACAACAACAACAACAACAACGACAACCTGGGTGGCAGCGGTGCGGCCAGCGACTCGGGGAGTCCGGTGCCGGTAGCGGGTGCGCGCCCGTTGAAGAAGGCGAAGAAGAAAGCCAGGCCCGGCAAGAAGCTCCTCTCGTTTGGGGACGACGACGACGACGAAGACGACGACAGCGAAGTGATGATGGCAGCGGGAACCGAGCGCTCCAAGGGCATTCAGACAAATGACAACGGCAATGGCAAGGTCAAGACCAGCAAGTTCAAGGCCAACGCGTCCGTCGGGCTAATACCCAAGTCGCTCACCAAGTCGGCGCTGCGCAAGGAGGCGGCGGAGCGGGAGGCGCTGCGGCGCGAGTTTCTGACGTTGCAGGAGGCGGTCAAGGGGACCGAGTTTGCGATTCCGTTTGTCTTTTACGACGGCGCCAACACGCCAGGCGGCATCGTGCGCATGAAAAAGGGCGACTTTGTCTGGGTGTTTCTCGACAAGAGCCGCAAGGTCGGCGCCGAGCTGGGCGTGGGCGAGCAGGCTAATTCGACGCGGGCGTGGGCGCGCGTCGGCGTCGACGATTTGATGATTGTTCGCGGCACAGTCATTGTCCCTCATGTACGTTTGGCTTGATCTATTCCTTCATTTATGCCCTCGGGCATCGTCTATATGCATTCTCCAAGGCTAACGGGTGCGCAATCTATGATAGCATTATGACTTTTACTACTTCATCATCAACAAGAGCGTCGGACCGGGCGGCAAGCGGCTGTTTGACTACAGCGCTGACGCTCCGGAACGACCGGACCCGGCGGCTGAGCCGCTCCGGGTTGGACTCTCCACGGCAGCCGAGGTCAAGGTGGTCAAGGGCGCGCCGGACATCGCCACGCTCGAGGGCGCGGACGAGGATCCGCTGGAGACCAAGGTGGTCGATCGTCGGTGGTATGAGCGCAACAAGCACATCTATCCCGCCAGCACTTGGCAAGACTTTGACGCCGATATGGACTATGCGAGCCAGGTCCGAAAAGACGGTGGTGGCAATACATTCTTTTATTCCAAGTGAAGGTCGTGCTCCTTGCTTCCAAAAGGCTCATGTTCTTGTTTGCGGGAAGGCGCTGTCATGGGTGTTATGCCAGCGGATTGGGGAGTCTTTTTTCCCCCTCTCGATTTCAGCTTGAATAAGCTATTCCGGCCTTCGTTGGTGCTTCTTCACCCACACATCTGCCAGAGGACAAACGACGTGCCGCCGATGACGATCCAGCCTGGCCAGAGAACGACGAGGAACAGGCCGTTGCCCGCGCCGAGCACAAAGAGGGCAAACTCGTAAAAGATTTTGTCGCGCAGCACGCGCGTCGTCTTCATGTCCCAGACGGCGGCGGCGGCGGCGACGCCGTGCCAGGCGCCCTGCTTGGTACCCCAGGTCAGCAGGCGGGTGGCGTAGTAGGCCTGGACGAGGGAGACGCTGGCGACGAGGTAGGCGCGCCAGCAGAGGAAGACGGAGAGGGAGCCGATGATGCTCTGTACGTGTACGGCGTAGGCGAGCGTCGGGCCCAGACGGCTGATGATGGTGGCATGGCGATGCTGGGAGAGTGCATCCACGCGGGATGATGTCAGGATGTCGACCTTGTCCATCCTTGATGTATGATAATGGCAAGAGGGTTAGAATAGATGATGTATGAACAGCCGATCAAGACGAAAGAAGAAAGGAAACTGAATGACAGGGGATAATTGACTGTATTAATACCAGTAGCAGGCGAACCGAACCGGTTTGGCACCCCCGCCGCGGAGGATGAAGGGACATGTCGGACGCGGCCGGACAAGCCAACCAGGACGCCGCACGCGGCCATACATTGCCGGAAGCCAGATGTTGGGCTGGGTGGGACATTTGAGACGAAAGGTGGGAATGAACGGGCGCACATTCCCATGCAAGCCATCGTCGTTGGCTGAAAAAAGGGTCTCACGCACCCCGCGTTCGGAGGGGGGGGGGGATTGTTTGTGGTAGGCTGCTGCCAAGTGCCAACCCACGTGGGGGACGAGCACCGCTCAATTTGCCCAGTGAAGAAACACGGGATCTGCTCCAGATCGATCATTGAACGAGAATACCATGAGGGGGAAAAGCTTGTCTTTTTTTTTGTTCTTGGTTGGTCTTATTCCCACACACCGCCCTCGATGCTGCACTCTGCTGCACTCGTCTTTGCTGTTGTAACTAGGTCTACCCGCCGAGGACAAGAAACGGCAGCTGCGTAATTGTTGATCAATTTTATTCGTCATAGAATAGACATGGCTTCGGGATGCATTGTTGCAATGCAGCTGTGGGCAACCCCGACCGTGCAGCGACGGCGCAAGCATACAGGTCTCGGATGGCTTCTTTGGGCAGCTCCAGGCGAATATCGGGCCAAAGAGAACACAAACTGCATGCATCGCCGCGCGACCACATTAAGACTTGTATCGACGACTACCTTGAGCGTGTGAATTGTCATGCTCGTGTGCCGCGGAACTAGTATAGGCTTCATGAAGAGTAAAAAAAGACCACGCTGGCCTGAGCCTGCGGCGATGACATCGGGCTGTTGCACAAGATTTGTCGAGTACCATGCAGTGCTCACGCGATACGTTACTCAACAGCGCCACAAAAGGGTGCATCTCATGCAGGTCTAGCTATAGTAGTAGCTATAGTAAGCCCCCCCCCCCCATCGACGAATAAGTTGACGCAAATCGATGGCTGCCCAAGGCAGGCTGTCATTGTGACTAGTCACCAAGCCCGTCCTCGTCGTCTTCTTCTTCATATTGACTGAGTCGACAACACCATGGGTCCTGTTCGGGAAGAAGAAGAAAGTGTACAGCTAGAAAATATCTTGACGCTAGAACGAGACTGGAAATAAATAGAACAATTGTTGGATTAGAGGAAGCGAGTATAATATATATAGATTTTTCATTCAGTAAAACTTTGACCCTTCATCTTCATGGCATTATTCTGGATGAACGTGCTTCTACTGCTCCAATTGCATAACGTCCTCATCAACTGTATATTATTAGTTAAGACCGTCGGAGAGCAAGATGATTTATTTACTACCCGTCATTGACCAGCCGAGGTTTTGTGGCGTAGCCTGGATATCAGCAGTGTACATGGCATCGTTGTTCGCAAAAAGTCAGTCCATCAGAACAGAGCCTGTCTAGCGGAGGGAACTAAAGGCCAAACTCTATGTAGACAAATGTTAATACAAGTGAAAAATACGCTTTATAACCAGCAAGGTCAACATGACAAAGGAGAGCGAAAACCTTCTTTCGCTGCCTTGCACCCCTTTCGCGAGTTATCGCTTGACTGCAGCCACATGCCATAGCTTATTATTAAGGGCAGTGCTCTGGATAACTTTGGACCTGGGTGTTCCGAGTTCTTCCGGGCACGTAGACCAGTTCGGTGATTTGTGTTGAGCAAAAAGAAGCACAAAATTCCAATCTAATACGAAATCAGAATCCGTAGGCTAGAGTAAACTCCGTACCCATGATTCACGGCCCCCATATCATAACCCTACAAGTATTTAAGATTGTTGTTGATTGCTAGCATCGCGGGGTAGTGGCAACAGGGTTACTGCCAAACAATCGCTCGTTCCGTAAGATGCATACGTCACCGAGAAATAAGCGATTTGCATTTCCCAACTCCAAGCTTGCTGCGGCCATGTGTCGATCCATCAGAAGCGGGGGTTGCAACAGCTAGCCATCTCGGCACCACAAACTATTAGCAGCCAAGAGCTGCTTGCTACCTCCTCGCCCCTTGACGACAATTAATCATCATCATCAACCTCGAAAACACCACCAGCACCACCCGAAAACCATCATGGCCTCCTCCTCCGCCGCTCAAGTCGACCAAGACGCCACCCTCCTCTACGACTACCTCCGCATGGGCGCGTCGCCGGCCCCCCCGCCCGCCGACGTCATCTTTGGCCTCGGCAGCCTCGACACGCGCGTCGCCGCGCGCGCCGCGCAGCTCTACCTCGACGGCCTCGCCCCCTGGCTGCTCTTCTCGGGCGCGTCCGGCAAGCTGACCCGCGACCGGTTCAACCTGCCCGAGGCCGAGGTCTTTGCCGACATTGCGCGCAGCATGGGCGTGCCCGACGACCGCATCCTCGTCGAGCCGCTGGCGCGCAACACGGGCGAGAATGTGCGCTTCGCGCACGCCCTGCTGGCGGAAAGGGGCATCACGCCGCGGTCGCTCATCCTCGTGCAGAAGCCGTACATGGAGCGCCGCGCGTGGGCGACGTTTCAGAAGCAGTGGCCGGACGACGCGGTCGCCGTCACGGTGACGTCGCCGCAGCTGGCGTTTGCAGAGTACCCGGACAAGGGAAACCCAAAGGAGCTGGTGGTCAGCGTCATGGTGGGGGACCTGATGCGCATCGAAAAGTACCCCGCGCTGGGGTTCCAGATCGAGCAGGAGATTCCGCCGCCGGTGATGGAGGCGGCGCAGAGGCTGATTGCGGCGGGCTACGATAAGCACCTCCCGTGAGGGCTGCCGTTTTTCATATCTATCGTAGAGGGCTTGACTGTGCTTGTTTCATAGTATCCAGGAAGTAATGCCTCTATTCAGGCTTTTCCGGCTGCTTCTCTTCCAGGCCGTCGTAAATGTTCTTGGCTGTCGTCTTGAGGTAGCCAGTGAAGCTGATGAACGCAGACTCGTCCAGCCCTTCAATCCAGCGGCAGCGAACCACAACACTATCCAGATTCACGTGAATAGATATGCCAAACCCAAATTCTTCCTTGACACGTCCGTTATTTACTTGCAGGCCCATGTCCATGCTACGTTGCCTCTGCCGTCGCCACGCCCTCGTCCACACCTTGTCCGCCACCCGTAGCGTGCCCTCCAACTTCTGCCTGTCCCACGCCCAGTGCGTCGTCTCCAGCGCGTCCATGGCCTCCTGCAGCCCGGCGGCAAACTTTGAAATGGCGTCAAGCCCCGGAAAATCGGCCACCGTTACCTCCGTGTGCGCGGGCAGGCTGCCCTTGAGCGACCCCGCCGCCGCCGTCCCGCGCGCAATCGCCTGCGGCGGGCGCATCGCCCGAAAGCTCCACGCGACCACCCATCGCCTCGTCTTCTTGCCCTGCACAAGCTCCGTCACGGCGTAGTTGCCGATGTCGTGCGCCCGCAGCCGGTGCACCAGCGCCGTGACGCTAGACAGGAAGCCGAGCATGGCCGTGTACCACTGGACACGCCCGCGCAGCACGAGCGACTCGTCGAGGATGCGCCCGACAAAGGCGACCTCGCCGCCGTCTGTCACCATCTCCACGGGCGCGCCGGTGCAGGCGGTGCGCGGCGGGAGCGACTTGGCTGCGGCGCGTTCGTCGAGCTCCTCGGCGGACTTGTAAAAGGGCGGGTTGGTCATGACAAAGGCGACATCGTCGGTAGGAGCGGCCGAGATGGGGATGATGGGGCCGTTTGGGTCGGATCGGACCAGTTGGATGCGGGTTTGCAGGTCGTTTTGCTCGACATTCTTCTTAGCCCAGCTGAGACTATCGTCGTCAATGTCTGGAATCGTTAGAAGAGAACGATGGGCAAAGGTGAGAGAGACGCACCGGCGGCGATAAAATACCAGGGCCGTTGGGTGCAGCCAAGCATGGGGTATATGCAGCTGGCTCCTGTGCCAATGTCTATGCCCACGAGTCTTCCGCCAGGGGCGTCGTAGGTGGTTGAATCGAGCAAGTCTTTGAGCCACAGGATGTAGTTGTGTCTATTGGGGATCTTGCATTCATCTCTCAGTACGATGTCATACCATGTAAAGAGGAAAACATACCGGGGGACAAAGACGATTACTCGGGAGGTCTAGTGAGAGACCAAAGTCAAGTTTAAGCAACGTCTTGGACAGTTGCAGGACGGCCTTGGGATCTTTGAAATCGAGGTCCCGTCCTTTAACTCTGCATATAATGAGTAGTTTATTCGGGAAGGAGTACATAATAAATGATGCATGCTTACACTGCGGCGAAGTCAGCGTCTAGGGCGGCAATCTGCTTGAAATCCGGTGGGTTGCTATACAGCGTGCGAAAGCGCTCGTCTTTGTGTTGCTGGGTCTCTTCTTCCGGCACGACCTCAGCAGATCCCAACGTTAATTTTATCTCATTCTCGTCAGAAGCCATCTCAGCAAAAGCTTTACCTTCGCTGACGTGGTTCGAGTTGTGTAGCATCCAAGATTTGTGAGTCGAGAGAGCCTAGTTTTCGTTTGCACCAGCGCCCCACCAGCAGCCGGGAGCCGACAAACGGTTCACCATGCATTGTTCTATCTCTTTTGTCTATATATGCTAAAATGGTAAATATACACCTGCGTCACCAGAGGAGAATCCGCCACCTCCAGCCCTCGAGCGCGCGACCGTCTCGCTCCCCGAGCGAGTAGTCGCCCTCGTGGATGCGGTCCGCCAGCTGCTTTAGGCGCCTCTGCGTCGTCCTGGCCACGCGCAGCGACACCTCGCTCTGGAAAATATACAAGACGGCAAAGACAAAGAAGCCAACCGACGCGAGCTTCCCGACGCCAAAGACGCTATTCTTGACGCGGGCCAGGATATTTTGAGATTTTTGAAACGCGTACTCGGTGTCGTTGGCGGCCGCCTTGGAGTCGGGGTCGTTGCCGCGCCGAAAGATGCGTCGGACGAGCGGTATAAAGGATGCGCTGCCTCTTGGTCAGATGCCCGTTCTTTTAGTCTTTTTTTAGGAGGTTACTTACAAGATGCCGCCCATGAGCCACTTTCGCCAACGGTGGTTTTGCGCGGCCCGCGCCAGATCACGCACGTGGATCTGCAGGCCCAGCAGGTCACTCAGCACCAGGTCCGTCTGGTACCGCAGACGGTCCGCGTTGCCGCCATACCGTCTGTACTCTTTCTGCAGCACCAGGTACTCGCGAAAGTTGTGCTGGCCGCTTTGCTGCAGCGAGTGGAGGTCCCGCGTGTCGTGCCCCTGCATGTACGCAGGGCCAGTCGGCGGCGGCGCAAACACCTGCGGCGGAGGGTTGTACGCGACCGCGCTGCCGGGATGGTCGGTGATATGGCCCTCGGGTCCCAGACGCAGCGCGATGCCCTCGGACGGGTTGAAGCCGACCTCAGCGGGGACGAGCGGCGAGCGAGCACGTCGGACGCCGTGGTCGGATGCTGCGGGGGACCAGATGGGCATGGGGTCCATCTGGGTCAGTTGGACGGGGTGCTCCATGGTGCTGGATTTTGTAGGCTTTGACGAAGAAATTTGCCGCTGGTGAGTGACTGTTCAATGATGCTCTCGAAGGCACGCAGGTCGGCGACGATGTGTATGTCGTTGGGCAGGATTCTGGGGTGGCTGGGAATGCATGCATGTAGGTTGCGCTGGCAGCTGGCACTGCCTGCTACCTGACCGCCTCATTTTTGACTCCAGATTCAGTGCGGAGTATTGATAGCTACGGCGGTCAGTTGGAGTATTTTGTGGACTTTTTAAGATAAAAGGAACTCACATTGCGTTAATCTCTAAATTATTCTGTCCGAAATGATTCACCCGTCTAGGCTTTGTTTGATGCTAAACTGGTGCATAGGGTAGGTAGTTAGGCCGTGGAGCGCCAGGTACCAAGTGAAGCGCCGGCCGTGGGGCGAGAAGGGGAAACGAGGGATAAAGAATCGGGAAAGTCATGGTGATAGTAAAGCGGAAGGCTCGGATATCGAGTGTATAGATGTTCTTCAGTCTTGCACTCAAGTTGAGCAGTCTCATTCACCGAGCCGGGCGAGTGGAGTCGATAATGGTGTTGGCTACATTCGTGCAGTCCGCGGCATCTTCAATTTAGCGCTGCAAGATAAAAACGTTTACAAGGGATTGGTCTGCCTAACTACATACATCCAGGTATACTTGTCACTGAATCGTTTCAATTCTTCACTCTTGGGTGGGTGGGCACATCAACTGCCTATTTCACTACATAGTCATGAGATGGCTCGACTGGGTGTCCGCCCATATGGTCCCATGTCATGTATTCTGTTATCTAGCCTGTTCCTTGCCAATGGTTTCTCAGCCAGTCAAGTTTGCACGAGCTTTTCGCATCACTTACAGCAGACGGATGTTTCCATGCGAGCCCAATGTCTGGAGGAGCAGGGTGGACTGTCTTTTATTAGTATACACCCGTAGCACCCATAGCCGTTTCCTGTTCCGTAACTTATATTAGAAACCAATGAAACGTGCTAAGGGCCGGAGGGTCGCTTTCTCTGTGAACAAGGGTGCATGTGCCTGTGCATGCACGCCAGCAGTTTGGCCTGCCACAACTAGTGTGTCTGGCGTCTGGGGTTGTTGCTGATCTTCCGGATGACTGGATCAAATCCCGGCAGTGAACCTCTTCGTCAGGCGGGAGTGGCGGATCGGCCATGCCGGCATGCCAGCATCGCTTAAAAGTTTGTCACAGCGAAGAGTCCATGTCCAGATGCAACGACAGCGGTTCCTTGGCGCTCATACTAGCTCTTTAAGCTGAATATTTAGTATCAACCAAGTCCAGCGAGTAGCGTGCGGCACCGACCATGGATTTCTTCAAAACGGAGAATTATCTGCACTAGAGATTGTCTAGACTGTACAAAAAGCGACACGACTCATGATGACCGACGGTCTAGAAGCCAGAGGAACAATCCCCCGTCACCTAGTATATCTAGTATATATATACACTACCCTACTAGATAGAACTTCATAATATAATGACTATATCTCTTATCCTATGTGTGCCCTATTGGTCCTAATAACTCGACCTAGGTCTCACACGTAGGCTTGCCCGGAAACCCTGTGCTGGTCAAGCGCCAAGTATACCAAGGAAGTCAGCGAACTGTGGCCTGTGCTGCCATGAGGGCTCGACCAAGCCTAGCATAGCCTCCTGCCAGGTGTTGCAGCTCTTTCGATGCTCTTCATCGCATTTGTCGGGGGGAATCTCATCCCCTCTCGGGCTATACTCTCTGGCCGACAAGTAGATGAAGCTGCGCAGACGTCACTGCCAGTTGTGTTGCACAACCTACTGGTAAGAAGATAAATGCAGGGTGTTGCACATGTGGTTCGATCCTGGCAGACAACAACCACACGTATGCCCAACTGAAACGTGGGGCCGCGGCGAGACAGTCTAATTCATATAGGCTACAACTTGACTGTGAGCTATCTGTGAAAGCTATGCTACGCCGTGGCTTTTTACTTTTTTACTCGAGTACGTACACTTCACATGCGGGTGGTTTTATAGCCATCATGTAGCCGGGAGAAAGATGCTCGTGCAGTTGACAACGCATCGGCAAATTTGTCAACCCCCTGATTGTGACAGGGATCAGGGAACCTGCCATCCGGAGACCTGCATCCGCGGGTTGGCCATTGGCTGTGCACAGGCTCTTTAGCTCTTTTCGGTCTGGCAACAGAGTTCAACTAGTCAACTAGTATACGCACCTCGACATCGATGGAAGAAGGGGGGACCGGGCCGCCATTCCCCAAACGATGAAAAAAGAGGAAAATGGGCCGATTTGCAGGACGGCAATTCGATTCGGTGCCCACCAGAGCCAGGGACGGGTCCGTTGTTCATCGGGAGACTTTATGAATGGTTGCCTCTTTGCAAGAATGATGGGTATGAGTGGCAGATCATCGCGTGTCCACCAATTTGGGTGTGTAGATGGCAGGGGGGGCCAATCCGATGGCAATATATTTTCCGACTTCCCTCTGTTGCTTATTTCTTCATTCGCTTAATTAATACGCTTCGCTTCTCTCCCCCTTGTCCATCAAGGGACAACTCACTCAGCAGCAAGCAGGGCTGACAATGTACTGCTACACTTGCAGTCTGGTTTAAGAACATGCACCCTTGTTTCATTCTTGTCATCACAGACGCGAGGTTATTAGACCGCCCTCCCTGCGCTGTAAGCCTCCTTGTCCATCTTGTTGCAGGAACTACTCTTTGTTCTGACAGACTTGACCACAGGTACCGTGTGTAGAGCAATTCTGCACACCGTCCAACCAAACATGCACTTGCGGGCCGCATAAGGAGGCCATTGACCGCTGCATCGTCGCCTCGTGCGGGATACCGACGGCGACATGTAAGGCACCGGGAACAGAAAGAGGCACACGCAGGTCTAACATTCCGAAATAGATTTGAGAAACTCCACAGAGATAGCATGCGGAACACCTGTGCGCAATCGAGGAGTCAATTCTATCATCATGACCGTCTCAGTGACATTGGTCACTATCCTGGTCATCATGGCACGCATGCTCTACATGCAATTCTTCAGTGCCAGAAGACACCTCAACCCCGAAGAATGGTGTATCATTGTTGCCGCGACCATTGGCCTCCCAAGCGCCTGCATCAACGTCTTTGCTCTCGTCCCCAGCGGCATGAGCAAGGACGTCTGGGGCCTGCACCCCGCCGGCCTGGTGGCGACGGCGCGCTACTTCTTCATCGTCTCCATCACGTACGTGGTGCTCATGATGCTGGTCAAGCTCAGCTTGACATTCTTCTACCTCAGCATCTTCACCGGGCGCATACGCTACCTGCTCTGGGCCACAATCGCCTTTCATGTCGTCACAGCGACGACGTACTTGCTGGGTGTCGTGTTCCAGTGCATACCAACCGCCTACACGTGGGAAAAGTCCAACTTTGCCAGTACGAACCCGGTGCAAGGGCACTGCCTCGACCTCAACACAGCGGGCTGGGCCAACAGTGCCGTCAGTGTGGCGGCGGACCTTTGGCTCCTGTCGCTTCCCCTCAGTCAAGTCCACAAGCTGCGCCTCACTTGGAAGAAAAAGGTCGGGGCTGCTCTCATGTTTATGACAGGCACAATGTGAGTCCTAGTTCGAATATCATGTCGAACGCAATCAATCGACTACCGTGCTTACTCTTCTTCTCAGTGTGACAGTGGTATCATGTCTACGCTTGGCATCTATTCGACGGTACGCGTCCACGTCGAATCCGACTTGGGACCAACTCGACATTTTTTGGTGGTCCACGGTTGAACTGGGCGTCGGCATCATCTGCACTTGCATGCCGACTCTTCGTCTGATTCTGATCAGAATAGCCCCGAGGGTGTTTGGAAGCGACCCCAGCAATGTCTTGTACGTACTTGGACCGAAAAGAATACACCCCGCCACGTGTTTATGTGAAAGCTTACGCGATAACCTCTGGCAGAATAACGTTGAATCATATTGAATCGAAGAACACAGAGAACACGCGACACGAGGATGGCGACAACGTAGCGGTCCAGTCTCGCTGCTCACAAGACTTCGTTGCTCCACCGACAGCCTCGCCTGCAGCGATTCCAAGGAGACCAGAAGCTGCGTTATACAACTGGCGCAACGCGTCGAAAACAGACGATTCAATTGGAAGCTTGGAGTATCGTGATACCTGGCATGATACGATGGCGTTGGTGAGGAAGCCAAGCAATTGGAGATGTACCATGTAATGGCATTCAAGTCTTGATGGAGACTATGTATACATGAGTCAACTGGTGCAGAAATGTAGAATAACAATGTATTTATGAACAACAGAGTGGAAAGCCATCATGACAAATACTTGGCCATTGTCCCCAACCTTGTATTCTCAATACAGCCACAACTACTCCGTAGGTAGGCATTTACGGAGTCTCTGCAGGTACCTCCGCGGTAACCCATCCCCTTGCGCCGTTCCCCTGAAATCTGAAATTAGCCTCCCGCGATTCGACCCCTGTCCTGTTCTTCACATGCCACATGCCTCGGCGCAAATTGTCGACATCTGCATCATGCAAGAGCGAGAAGCACCTTGATACGCCACAAGTCCATCACAAATAAAAGAAAAATATCATTTCATAATTTCCTATACATGAACTCGATGTTTGAATTCAATAGACAGCCTAGTTGGAGGCCGCCGCATGGCTGCCTGGGAGCTAAAAGCCCGGCTGAAGCTGCGCCCCTGTCATATGTACGTGCGTGGCGCGCCGCCCAATCATCCTGTTATAAGAAGTAGAAGCTGCCCGTACTGAAAGGTGCCTCATTACACAACTCTACCTGTAATCTTTCCACACTGTAAAACCCCCAAAAATCAACCAGACATTTGTCTAGAAAACTCGTCACCATCTTATCACCCAAGGACAAAAACCGCCGCCCGCGTCGCGATCGCGCTCAGATGAAAATGGAGTCCATACACAAAATCGAGTACAAGCTGGCCAATGTGCCAACTCGTGCCGTCATCCTATTTCCCGGAAGAGCACAAGTCTTTCGAGACGTCAAGGACATTGAGCTCAAGGCAAGCCTCACATCCTTGGTCCTCCCAGCGCGATTTACTCATTCTTTTCTTCTTCTTCTTCATTTGTAGCCCGGCATCAACGAGGTGACCATTACCGGCCTCAGCCCGACTCTGGACGAGGACTCTGTCAAGGTGCAAGGCGCAGGCTCCGCCGTCATCACCGACATCTCGGTCGAGTCGCTGCCGAACCGGGACAGTTTCCAAGACGCCTACCCGGACCAAGACTCGTCCGACGACGAGAGCGACGACGACGACGACATCGAGGACCCAGAGCCGGCCGACCTCGTCGCCGCCCGGCTCCACCTCACCGCGCTCCAGGACGAGGCGCGCCTCATCGGCGACGCCATTGCCAGCGTCGACAAGCGGCAGCAGATCCTCGACGCCGGCAGCGACGCCGCCGACACGCCGACGACGGCCGCGGCGGAGCAGGACAAGGGCGCGCGACTGGCCGCGCTGCTGGCCGCGTACCGCACCGAGCGCGCCGCC